ATGCCATTAAGTAGATGAAGCGAAATCTAGTACTAAAGTAAAGGGATTAGCCCTTGCTAGAAATACGGATGATTTATCAAGTAACAGGAAAAGAAGAACTGGTGGGTAAATGCAATGGTGAGAATTTTTGGAAGCCTCCTATGATCCCCCTTTATGTTCTATTAAATGGTCACTAACTGAAAATAAACATTGTGGAAAAGTATTGGAGATATGCAAACAGGAGAAAGAATGAAATAGTCTCCTACCAGAGAAAACTACAAGGATAGCTAAAGGATACATTTTAGATAGGAAATATCAGGAAAAAAACCCATATACAAGAATAGTGAACAAGTACATGGGTAAACATGTAGTTAAATCTAAATATTCATAAAAATTTGTAAAGCCCAATTCATAGTTTTAGAAAACTGAACTAAATTACTGAACAACTGCTTATAAGTAAAGAGGGGCTGACTGAAGTTTAATATTCTAAGGCACCTTACCATTGGGGGGATTAAGATAATGTTAGATTTTGGTAAATGTGCAAGTAAAATTCAAGAGTATTTAGTAAAAGAACTAGAGTACCAAATTTCAAACTAATAAAAGAGATAAAATAAGAACATGCAAATATTCAACCTCCAAAAAAAGGGGGAAAATGGAAAAAGCATAGGAAAAACAGTAGTAGAGATGGAAACTGGATAAAAGAGCAGCTGTCAATAATAACGACAAATATAAGTGGACTAAACTCATCAATTAAAGTTAAAAGATGAAACTGTCAGATTTAGCTTTAAAAAAAAATCCGAACTATCTTTATGATGTTTATAAACGTATACCTAAAACAGGATTTGCAAAAGTCAATGGTGGTGTAATTCAGAAACAGATAACAGGCAAATGCCAACCAAAAGAAAATCAAGGAAGTTAGATTAACATCAGATTACATTGTTTCTCCACAAACCTGGGCTACCCAGAAGCTAGGTGATAATGCTTACAGTTGGGGAGATTGTTGTTAATAGAGACACCAAAGCACCACTGTTCAATGATTGGAATGCTCTGTACCTGTGCTAATCAATATGGTAGCCACTAGCCACATGTGGCAACTAAGTACATGAAATGTGGCTAAGTTAATTAAGGACCTCAGTTTTTAATTTTATTTAAATTTAATAAGTTAATTTAAGTTTACTTAAATTTAATAAGTTAAATTTAATACATTGAAAATGTCACAATCCTAGAGACCAATTACTCCAACCCTCTCATTTTACTGAGTTCTAGAAAAATACAGAAGCCATCTGAAATTTTGGTCTTCTAATTTCTAATTAGCATGCTTTTCCAGTATCCCAAAACTTCCCAAGCTGATCTACTGCAATACCCCTAAGAAGTATACCCCTAAGAGGTATAATACAAACACTCTACTATCATCACTTATTTTTTTTAAAGAGAGAATATATATATATATATATACTTATTTTTTTTAAAGAGAGAATATATATATATATATATTTTTTTTTTTTTTTAAGTTTTTGGCGGACACAACATCTTTGTTTGTATGTGGTGGGTGCTGAGGATCTAACCCGGGCTGCATGCATGAGAGGCGATACCGCTTGAGCCACATCCCCAGCCCTATCATCACTTATTGAATGCTTAGTTTAGGTGATAATTATAATGATACTAATAGTATAATGATAATAACAATATTAATAATGACTAATACCTACATGGCATTAATTATGTATCTGATACTTTTTTTAATAGCTTTTACATGTATTAACTTATTTAATTCTCACAATAACCTTGAGGTACAAACTCTATCTCTTTTTTACAAATAAGGAAACTTAAGTTAGATAGCTTGACCTTACACTGCCTGTAAGTGACAGAGCTGGAACTAGAATATAGGTTGACTTCAGAGTCTGTAGTTATAAATATTCACTGCACTTTACTGCTTCTGTAGCAAAAGTTAAATGAAGAAATGAATGAAGGAATGAATCTTCACCAAAGCACAATGAGAATACTGACTTCAATTATGTAAAACTTGAGTTCTTTGGTTTCTCCTTCAAAAAGGATTTATACAGATGCACTATTTACCTTATTACTAAAATCATCCACTCCCCAGAACCACCCACACTCACTCCTATGCCAGCATGGAACACCTGAAGATAGTCCAGTTTCCTAAGTGTCAGCTGCATAGCCACTTAATTTATGCCAGTTTTCTGTAAAGTAAGCTAAAGTCTCCCATGCCAGCAGTTTCTTCTCCTAAAACAGTTAAAAAGGAAAAGTAACCATTTCTAAATATAGCATTTACATCAGCATTTCCAAGCTTTTCATTCTAAAAAGTGTTTTAATGAGTGTAAGCTAAAGACATAAGAAAAGTATTATCCACCCTCTCCCAGCAGATAAAACCTGATTAACAAAAGGTCAGACAGACCAGAGTTAGAATCCTACCTCAGCCATTTATTCTCACAAATGCAAAATATGGCTAACGAAAATATTAATCCCACAGGGTTGCTGTGAAAGTGAACAGGATACCGAGTGGAAGGTAAATACTTTGTAAGTATTAGTGCCAAATGTTTATCCTAGAGACTTGACAAAATCATCTATTTGTTTTACGCCAGAGAGCAAACTGCCTCTACTGACAGCTTTCCAGTTTCTCCCTCTGCAAGGAGAGGATTAAAATCCAGGCCTCCCAATGCCTATGTAGTGCTTACTCCACACCACTGTGCTTTCTTAAAACAGTGGGGACACTCATTCTCTCCTCTCTGCAAATCACAAGGCCATCTTCTGAAAAGAGTCAGAGATACTGAAATATCTAACAGAGATAAGAAATCTCACTCATCAAAATTTTCAGGAACTACTGCTTCAGGTAGCATTTGGGTGGGGGGGGGTGAGTGGGGTATAATCTATGTCCCAAGAATCCATGTATAATAAATACATACAACAAAAAACTGAAGTATTATTAATTCCTTTAAGGAATAATTAAACATTCTTCCATGGGAGGAAATAATGCCAGTTAACATTTAAGTGTGTGACACAATATTAAATTTCTTGTTTTTTTTTTTTTTTCATTGAATCCTCAAAACCCAACCCTCCTACCTTGAGTTGTCGTTCTATGTACTGCTGTAGTTACCTGGTATTTTCCTTCTCAAAGTCCATATATGTTGTCATATAACTGCCTAACTGCCTACTTACTTGTTTTTAAAAATACAGGGGACATAACAATCATGTTTACCATTCATTTTTCTTGCAACAAATATTCTTGAGCATGAACAAGGCAGAAATGGTCCTGGCTCACTGTAGCAGATAATATTTACCAAAGATAATTACAATAAAACCTTCCATCTCACATGTTCCTCTTACAAATGTGACTTCAGTGTGCCTCCTATTTCATGTATAGATGTTAATGTTCCTTCCACTTGAACCTGCTCCCACAGAGTATAGTAGAAGTGATGCCATATGACCTGTATGGTTAGATAATAAAAATGCTATGCATTTCCACCTTATTCTCTTGGGTCACTCATTATTGGGATCCAGCTACCATAATGGGGAAGAAGCCTACACTAGCCCATGCAGAAAGACCACAGAGAGAAATAACCAGTCTGCTGAGGCCCCTGACATCATGGAAGAGAGAAACATTCCCCAACTGTGACTCATTCAAATTCCTGACCCACAGACAAGGCAACTGGTTTTGTGTCAGAACACATTAAAATTCGGAGCTAAACTCACATCCTAACACCATAGTCTTCTGTCTTCCTCGGTACTTAATATTTTATTCTAAATAAACAGTAACTTATTTTACAATGGGATTAAGAACATTCTGCAAATATTACTAATGTATTTTAAACATTCTGGCCTAATGGAATTCACTGTGCAGGCTTCACCACTGAGATGGAAACCTCAGAAAACCCTTCCCTGATCTTCCTGACTCAGTTAATTCCTCCCTCATCCTCCCAAACCTTTCTACTATTTCATACTCTAACACAGTTTCATTTGCCCAGCTGAAGTTGTCTTATTAATTTATCAATGAGTTTACACTACTTTCTCTTTCTCTGGCTTGAATATAAGCTCCATGACAGCAGGAATCTTATCTGTCTGGTTCATTGATAGTGCCTGGGACAATGCCAGAAATATAGTAGATGATCAAAAATTACATACTGAAGGAAGAAATGGATGCATTCAGTCCACTGAAAGTCCGGAGGATAAGAGAAAACAATAAAAAATATTCCAGCAGAATCATTCCATATAGTCAGGTCAGTTAAAAAAAAATGGAAGAGGGGGTGAGATCCAAGTATAACTAACCCACTTAGAAAAGCATAAACCCTGAGTTCAGTGGTTCCAACTTTCAACCAAGAAAGAGCTGATGAGGAGAAAGGTGTTCAAATTGTGAATGAAGATGTAGGTAATGGGATGGAGTTGGGATACTGACCTCCATTCATAACTACTGATCATTCCCTCCTCAGAAAAATAAAAAATAAAAATCAGTTTCTCTAGACACACTGGCTGAACCACACCAAAGACAACTGTTGGTGGCCCTCTAACAGCAGAACTTCTATACTTCATCTGGCCCCTTTTTTTTTCTTTGCATCTCCCAGGGCAAGGAGGCAGTAGCCTAGCTCTTCAAGAAAGAGTGAGGAATCTTCAGATCCAAGGCTGGAATCTCGACACAGTAGGTTCCCGAGGACGCTATTTCTTTAGGAAGGGAATGTGACCATTCCTGAGGATCTACCAAGTGCCCAGCACTATGCTGGGCTCTTAAACATGCTTTTTCTAATTTACAGACTATTTCTTCCCCCAACACAAAAATTAATAGAGACCTTAAGTATAATTTCCCCATCTTACCTTTCCCGAACTCACTACTCCCTACCCCAAGAAATAGTCAAAACTCTAGGTGCGTTTGCGGAAGAAAAAAGAAAGAAAGAAAGAAATCTGGCGTAGCCTAAGAAAGAAAACCCGAGGGGAACAGTGTTAGACAAGGGAAGGGTCCTATTCGGCAGAGGCCCCGATCAGTAAAGATTAAGATAAGAATGCTGTCTGACCCTTTCCAAGCCCAATGTGTCCGTCAGAAGAGGTGATCAGGAGCAGGAAACTGAAGCCCAGCAAACAGGTGGCCCCGAGACGAGGCCACATCTCCATGGTGCTAGGTGCGCGGGACCACCGGGCTGACCCGACACAGGGCTCGAGTCACCGCAAGAGATCCGTTTCTTTTCCTTAGAGCTGGTCAGCCCAGACCCTCTCTTTCTCAGATTTTTTTTTTTTTTCCAAACTCTGAAGGAAGTGATGTTAGACGGATGTGGGTGGTGCCTCCGGGGTCCGGCTTGGGATGGAGTTAAAGGTGCAGATCACGTAGAAGGGTTCGGGAAATGCTCTCGAGCGTGATCTGCCTTCTCAGGGTCTTGTAAGTCGAAGCCTCAGGACCGAGCGGAAAAAGGTGGGCTGAGACGGTGGGGGTAAGGGAGAGGTTCGGAAGAACCGTTGTGGACTACGTCTGCCAGCCAGACTAACCCCTCCCCCTGCCTCTCCCGCCCCCAGGTCCGCTGTACTTACTATTCAAAACGCAAATTATTGATTCGTGAGGTCAACATCTCCCAACAGTGGGTGAGTCGCCTATTGGCCTCGAATTTCCCTTCCCCCACCGCAAGTAAGAAAAATCGGACAACCGGATTTCATTAATTTCCTGCTCAGGTCTCTGAAGAGACCTGATAAACCCATTCTGCATTCAACTGTCTCTTGCCTTGCAGGCATGCACTTCACTTTCACGCTAAGGAGGATGCAACCAACCAATACAAGCTCCAAGAAAACCAGAGTTGGGGCTTCCTATTGCAAAACTAAACGTTCCAAAGGAACCAGGTCATGTCACTGTAGGCATCTAAAATGTAACGCTTCTTCAGATTAAATCTATTTTTGTTGTGGATTAAATATTTCTTTTTAATTTTCGGCCTCTACTACATAACAGGCCAAAATCTCCCATCTTTCTTCTATTAGTTTGAGTCCAACAGTGCATACTTAATGCATAGTGAAAAGCATCAGAACAAAACTACACAAACAAAATCATTTCGCCCTTTTATTAGGTTCTCCACAAACTAAGTACCGACACAATGGAACGCCTGGGAGCTCCAGGATGCAGCGCGGCACCCGGCACCTGCCGCCAATAGAAATTCTGGGGTGCGCAAAGCAGGCTGGGTTTTGTAGTTGGGATGCGCGCTCCCGGGATAGGCCGCCGGGGAAGGAGAGGCGGGGCTGACTGTATCACGTGGGCCTCGCTCCCGCCGCCGCCGTCTTTCTCTGTCTCGGTTGAGGCAGCCATCTTGCTCTTGCCGCGTGCTGGTGTTGGAGGACCCTCCCTGCTTCAGGTGAGACCCCCGGCGGTCCCGCCACTCCACGGCCATAGGCCGCTGCGCACGGTCTCCCCCCGCCCTCTTCTTCCGACACCCTCCAACCGCTCGGGCTGCCACTTCCGCCGTGGCGCGGCGAGTGGGGGCGGAGGCGGCTGGCTTGGCCTGTCGGTTACCGGCGGCGCAGCTGGGGGTCGGCACCTGAGGGAAGGTCCCCAGCACCAACGCCCCCTGTGAGAGCGGAACGGTGCTTTTGCCGCCCAAATCCAGTCCCAGGAGGCGGGTGGACCCCCTCTCCTCTGTTCCATTACTCTTCGTTATTCACAACAACAATGTCATATGTTTTGAGCTTATACAGCTTATCTGTTGTCATCTCAGTTGATGCTTCCAGTCTACAGATAGGGAAACCGAGGTTAGCACCCCGCCCCCTGCCCGGGGAACCGGACCCTGTTGCAGGGCTCATCACCTTATAATGGCAGAATTTGTTTACAAGTCTGCCTCCCTTTTGGGACATTGCCTAGCCCATCCTTATAACCCCATCACTGCTTGATGATTGACCGGCAGGCACAGTGGTATACAGCTAGTGAATGGCGGTTTCAATTTCCCTTCCCAGGTTATTTCACTTATACCTTAGCTATCCCCTCGGGAATGGTAACAATAGTTACCAATTATTGAGTATATTTCTGTGAGCCATATCTTGTGCTTGATAATCTACCTTTAACCCTCAAAACAACCCTGTGAAGTATGTKTTATACCTTTCCTGATGCAGGAGGAACAAAAGTTCAAAAAAGTAAAATACTTTTTTGAAGCCTTAAGTATTAAGTAGAGTAGACCCAGTGTCTTTGATTCTACATCCTGTGCTTCTCTTAAAGAAATCTCATAATAAAAAGTTGAGACTAAAGGTTGAAATTATTTTTATCCCTGTGTAAACATGATGTATGTGAAAATGCCTACCACAATGCTTGGAACTTAGGTGTTAAGTATTGATTAACCTCATTTGTACTCTATCTTGAACTCCTAAGAAAAGTGCTAAAAGATCCTTGGATCTCCCAAGGAAGAACTCATTATCATGTGACCAAAGGAAGTTACTTCTCCCTTTGGTTGCAGAAAGGAACTGCTACCTCAAGGCCTTCTTTTTCTATTAAATTGGAAAACGCTGAACTGCTTATAATTTATGCCCCGCTGCTGTCCTCATATATGTAAGACAGGAATGACAGGTACGAATTAARATGGATTAAAGAAAAGGGAATTAAATCAGATAATCTTTGAAGTCTACTCCAGATGCTGAGCTTGACATCTCTTCTCTCAGTCCAATCACCTTTCCCTCTTGAATTCCACACACCACAATTTGCTAATAAGACAAAAGACCATACTTGTTCCTTCACTTCTGCTTTGAGCTTCCAACTTCCCTATAATGCTTTTTCTCTGAGATACTCCTTGAGGATAAGATTTTGCAATTCTGTTATCCTAACCACCTGGAATGGCATCTGTTCTTTCATCTACACATTGATTTAAAGAGTTAATGTGGTTCTTTGTTTCAAACAAGTCAGGACTCTTTCTTATCTTCCCAACTCTATTTCTTCTCTTGAGGATTATTACTTAAAAATGAAGAAAAGTCCCAAAGGATTTATTCTGTGTTTGATTTTAATATTTTCACTTAGCCCCGTTTTTGCAAGAAATTCCTTAAGCTCTGTTAGTTCACTACACCTTCAAAGCCACATTACTTTGAGAAAAGTGAATATTGGTCCATTCCTGTGGAGATCTAAATATAAAGATTAGGATTTACTTCAGCAAATTTAAGTCTATGGCAGAGCTAAGATTGGCATATGCATAAGGTTGCTTGTTTTGGACTCTAAACACAGTTGTTCCTAGAAGAGTGTTTTTAGCTGCTTGATCATTGTGATACAATGCTGAACAAAGAAATAATAGATTCTAATTGTTATTTGGGAACTGGACTTTATTTAGCCTTAAAGCAGAGATGCAGGGAGGTTAGTGCCTAAATTCAGTGTCAGTACAGAGTAACTAGTAATTACATAATCTTTTCATCTCTTCATCTCAAAGGAAGAAAACAATATCTTTTATCTAAATGGCGAGATCATACTGGGTTTGGAGAATCTGCCCCAAAAGATTTAATAACAGCCTAGTTCTTTTTTCCCTTCCTCATATCTCAGTAATGATCTGTTGAGCTACAGAACACGTCAAACAAGACTTTTAAATTGGCTTTTATTTGTTTGTTGTGTGTTAAGATCCATCATAAACTTAAGAATGTTGTTTTCCTTAGTAGGAATATTATTGATGAAACTAGAATTCATGATTTTATAATGCTTTTAGAATCTTCAAAACAAAAATTGCTATAAAAAACTTTGAGTTGCCCTTCCCACCAATTTAATATTCATGTAACCTAGATGTTTTTGTTAAATTGTGTAGTGAAAAATTTTCTCCTATATGCAAGAATATTTTGACAAGTGTGGTATACTAACTACATCAGCACAAAGTATTAAATGAATTCTGGAGTGCTATAGAAGTACTAAATGTTGAAATCTGGTTTGTTTCCCATTATTAACACAACATCCGACCTTGAATAGAGGACATGACTACGTATTTTGACAGCTAGAACGGCCTATTGTTGAATTTCATCTTTGTCTAGCCTTCTCCCTACCCCTTTTGTCCTCTTTATGATTTAGGAAATACACATTTGATGTGGGAGAAAATTATTTACTTGAAGGTTTTGCTGATAACATTTGGTAACAGTTCTCCGCTCTAAAAATCTTTGGGAGGAAAAACTGGCTTGCCTACAGAGATTTTGTAATTGGCTAGATTTTACTGAATGCCAAAGAACTGAATCACTTTTTAAGGAGGAGTCTTCAAATAGGTGACTTTGAATCCCATTCTTTTTTTCTGTTTGTATATTTGGCTCCCTGTGGTATTATTTTAATTTTGATTTTTAGCAATACATGGTTTATGAAGCTAGAACAAGGTATTTATTATGAATATAGACAGTATTAATATGGTTGTGGTGTTAATGCATACTGCAAACTCAGTGAGCCAAAAGGTACTGTTTGTATAAACAGTTTTTTCTTTAATTTTCATAAAACAGTGTCTTTAACAAATCTATTTTTCCCCCCCTAGATTTACCAACAGCATGAATCAAGAAAAGTTAGCCAAACTTCAGGCTCAGGTCCGGATAGGGGGCAAGGTGAGTGTGGCATAAGAAAAACTGATAGGAGAATGTATGATTACTAGACAGTATTATGATTTTGGACTTGTGGTCATTGAAAACCTAAAATCTTTTCCATAATCAAGACCAAACCACATTCCAATTTGAGAATTATTTGTCTAGATCTAAAACAACTACCTAGAAGACTCTTCTCTGATGATACAATGATAGCCACCTTTGTTTGAAACCTAACTTTTAATAGCTGCTAGTTATGACATAAACAAGTTTCAACCTTATGACTTCCATTTTTTTCATCCGCAAAATAGAAATAATCCTAAAAGATGCTCCTAAAAATTAGAGAAATATTTATAAAACACCTTATATGGTATCTGTCACAGGGTAGATGCTTAGTAGATCATAGTTGTTATTATAATGTTCAGTTTATCTTCAGGGCATGCCAGGTATTAGCATTACATCTTGACTGAATGTACGCACTGGTACAGTTAGGTTTACAGGATATTTAACTACAAGTTGGGTGTGATGACACCTGTTTATAATCCCAGGTGCTGGGGATGCTGAGGCATGAGGATTACAAGTTTCAGGTCAGCCTGGGCAACCTAGACTTCATCTCAAAATTTWAAAAAAAATTTTTTTTAAAGGTCTGGGGATGTAGTTCAGTGGTTGAACACCAACAGGTTCAATCCCCAGTTCTGCAGGAGGAAAAAAAATTTAACTAGAAATTCTTGAATGGGTTATACATTTTGTTTATTGCTAGGTTTTCCTCCTAGATTCCTGCCTGTTTTTGTATGTTGGTGAATATGAACATGAGCTTTCTTTTTTTCATATACTTTAAAACCTAAAGAAGTAYTTAAATCTTTGATTTCCCCTCAACTGTGGCCCTGGGCCCCAGGAGAATAGTTTACCTTTGTCTATCCAATACAGTGTTTGCAAAAGGGAAAAGGAGAAAGGAGTAGGTAGGGTACTGTGTCAGTCCTCACTGTGTCATTTACTTTAACAACAATTTCAGCTCTGGTGACAGTCAGGAAAGAGGAAGAAAAGACTTGACTAGTACCTTCTCATTTCATAATGCTATAGTTATATGGTTCTGGAGTCATATTAATACACTCATGTAACCACAGTAGTCACACTGTAACATCAAATGTGATATAATATGCCAGTGCAAAAAATTGGAGATATTCCATAGAATATATCTGGAAAGACATGATGCCAGACATCATCATCATATAGTTTAAACCATTTGTTGGTACCATCATTCATTGTTCTATTGTTTATTGAGCATTTGCCATACGCCAGGCACATGATAGATAAATAAAATCTCCTATTCAACATATCTCAGATTGGAAGAGAGTCATGCTCAGAATTACAATGAAGAATAGAAAGTGTTAAAATGAATAACAAGGTGCTCTTCCTTAGGGGAGGCAAGCTGGGATTCAAAGGATAATAAACAGCTGGGTGTGGTGGCCCACACATGGATTCCCAGCTAGTAAGAGTCCAAGGCAGGATCACAAGTTTGACGCCAGCCTCGGTGACACAGTGAGATGCTGTCTCAATATAAAAATAAAAAGTGTTAAAGGTTTAGCTCAGTTGTAAAACTCTTGCCTAGCAGGTGGGAAACCCTGGGTTTGATCTGCAGTACCAAAAATCAAATAATAATAAAATACAGGATAAATAAGAATTTATTGTCAGACTGACCAGGTTCATGGGAGAACAGATAAAAAAGGATTATTATTTCCACACGTGCAAAGGCACATAGAGTGCTTAGATAACATAGTGCTTAAAGGAATTACTTGCTTTGAATTCATACAGCTAGTGTAGAGTACATGATGGATAGAAAATGGTAGGAAACAAAATGACCTGATAGTTTGGGGTTCCAATGTAGTTTTATATGCCTTACTAAGAAGGTTGGAATTTTATCCTGTAGGAAGTAGGCAACTATTGAAGGATTTCAGAAAGGAAATGACAGCCATTTCAGAAAGGTAGCTGGGCAGTGTGGAAAAGGGAATGAAATAGTTTAGCATAGAGAATAATCAAGAGGTTATTGCTGAACTATATGGGTCATAGGTTTAGGGGTTGGAATTGACATGATTTAATGATTGATGGGATATGGGAGATAAAGGTCAGAAAGAAGAGTGGGATGATACCTAGACTTCTGGTTTTAGAAATTGGATATATGGAAATACCAGCAGCTATAAAACTTAGGAAGTAAAGGAAGAATAGACAGGTGGATTGATGAGCCTTTTGACATTGCATTTGATGTTCCTGAGGATCATTTGAATTGAGGTATACAGCAAACAACTGAACTATCTCTGAGTCAGGAAACCTTCACAAATAAGTAACCTATGAGCCAGGCACAATGGCATATGCCTGTAATCTCAGCTGCTCAGAAGGCTGAAGAAGAGGGATTGCAAGTTGCAGGCTACACTTGGTAACTTCACAAGGTCCTGTCTTAATTTAAAAAATAAAAGGACTGAGATTTAGTTCAGTGGTAAAGCACCCCTGGGTTCAATACAATACCCCCCCCCCAAAAAAAAAAAGACCATTGTAATAGTGATACTTCAATACTGGATTTTGTCACAATCTGCTGCCAAATGTCCCTTCTCTCACTGGAGTTTCTGAGACTGAAGGTTCTCCCTCCTCTCTGTAAAGCTGATTCCCTGAGGACTACAGAAGGAGCTATCCCTACTCCTACTTTCAGAAAGACTTAACTATCTAAACTTAGGCTGATTTTGTTTCTGCTTTGCTTTAGTTTATTTTTTTTAATTGGCCCATTTTTATAATAGCTTTTCAGTAGAAAAGTGTATTTTGAGTTTCAAAGTATCTGTATTGATTGATTGAACTTTTCTGTATTGAAAATGAACTTTTTGTATCTCAGTTAAAAGTATGATTTTCAACCTATTTGCTCAGGCCAAAATCCTAAGCATCATCCTAGACTACTCTTTTTTTCATATCCATCATCTAATCCATCAAAAGTCATGTCATCTCTTCTGACAATCTGATACTCATCATCTCCACTCCCACAAATGTCATCTCTCACCAGGACTGCTACTGGAGCCTCCTGACTGGTCTCCTTAAAGACCATTTTCCAAATAGCGACCTTAGTCCTAAGTGAACAAATCACATCAAGTCCAGCCACCTCCATGGTTAAAACTGTTCAGTGACTTCCTATTACAATTAGAATAAATCCAGTTCCTGCCCATGAAATTCTAGGCTATGTAGTCTGGCCCTTGCTTATCTTTTCTGATATCATTTTTCTTCTCTTTTCCATGTGCTCTAGGCTAGCCCTTTTGTCTAAAAAAGACAATTCAGCCTTTCTTCATTCTGCTTGGATCACTCTTCCCTAGTTGTGGGTCTCAATTCATATGTCACCTTTTCATAGGGGCCTGATAAGGTCGTGCTCTGCTCCCAGTCACTCTTAATTACTATGTTTTTGTTTTGTGATTTTATAAGAGTCCTTATCATGTTTGAAATAGTTTTTTTTTATGTATTTACTGACTTTTCCTTTTATTGTAATGTAAAAACTTTAGGTAAAATCTTCATCTTTTTCATTCCTGGATTTTCAGATTCTCTAATACTCAAATCATAGGCATTTAATTCTTAATATGCCTTAATTCTCAAGATTTCAGACCTCTTTAGACTTTTATTAGTAGGAGCTGGTAAGGACTGTAAGAAAGCATTCTTTATAATATTTGAAAGTTGTTGTAAAGTATATTAAGTTGTCTTGAAGTTATGAATTATATCTTATTAGCAAACAGTATTTTTAAAAGTGTTGAAAGAACAATTAGATACTGGATAAGAATAAGAACAGCTAGAACTGACCTTTAAAAAATCTGGGTTAGATTGACAATCACTACTCTGAGGAGTCTTATTGGTCATTACTATTTAGTAAGTTTTAGTTAGATTGTTGTAGTAGATAGGAAGATGTGATTGCAGTTGCCAGCTGCTGAGCATGCTAACACCTCTGATTATTTTTCAGGGCACAGCTCGCAGAAAGAAGAAGGTGGTACATAGAACAGCTACAGCTGATGACAAAAAGCTTCAGAGTTCTCTAAAAAAACTGGCTGTYAATAATATAGCTGGTATTGAAGAGGTATGATCACTTTAAAACTATTAAATAATGTAGGCAAACAGCACATGTGCAAATAATTGTCTAGACTTTTCAAATTTAAAACATTAGCTTAGAAGAATCTAATATTGTTACACAGATATCTTTAAAGGAATGTAACTGTTAAATTTGCTTTTTGAATAAAATCACATGATTTTAGTAAAGATATTTTAGTAAGCAAGATTTTTATTATGCTTTTCAGACTAAAGATGTTTATGGTAAAATTATGGGAATGCTCTTGAATTTTAATGTAGAATATGATTTTTTCCTAATAATATGGAAATAAATAAACCCTAAGATTTCCTCAAATAGCGTAGACTGTTTTACCCCAAGACCACCTTTTTACTCTACAAATTCTTTTTTTTTTTTAATTATATATAGATTTTTAGTTGTTGGTGGACCTTTATTTTATTCACTTATTTATATGTGGTGCTGAGAATTGAACTCATGCTAAGTAAGCACTCTACCGCTGAGCCGCAACCCCAGCCCTCTACAAATACTTTTAATTACATTAGCCAAGAGCCTGAAGCAATAACTTTACATAGGTTGAATTTCTTATTAGGACTCTTAAAAAAATTATTGTTAATTTTTAAAAAAATATTTATTTTTTAGGTGTAAATGGACACAACACAATGCCTTTATTTTTTATGTGGTGCTGAGGATTGAACCCAGATCTTGCCCGCACTAGGCAAGCGCTCTACTGCTAAGCCACAATCCCAACCCTAATATTGTTAATTTTTTAAATCAGTTTATTTTATATGTGTGTTTTGGTATTAGAAATTGAATCTAGAGTGCTTTACTAATGAGCCAGCCCTTTTAGTCTTTTCTTTTTATTCTAATTTGTTATATATGACAACAGAATGCATTTCAATTCATAGTACACAAATAGAGCACAATTTTTCATGTCTCTGATTGTACAGAAAGTAGAGTCACCATTTGTGTCTTTATACATGTTCTTGTGGTAATGATGTTCATCTCATTTCACCATTTTTCCTATGCCCTTACCCCTCCCTTCGCATCCCTCCCTTTTGCCCTATTTAAAGTTTCTCCATTCCTCAATGTGCTCCTCCCACATTCTCATTATGGATCAGCATGGGAGAGCGAGAGAGAATTTTTTTTTTTTTAAGATATTCTTAAGTTTTAGGTGGACACTCTATCTTAAATTTATGTGGTGCTGAGGATTGAACCCAGTGCCCCAYGCATGCCAGGCGAGCATACATGCTAGGTGAGCACTCTACCACTGAGCCACAGCCCCAGCCCAAGAGAGAATTTTTTAATATTTATTTTTTTTTAGTTTTCGGTGGACACAACATCTTTTTTTTTTTTTTTTTATTTTTATGTGATGCTGAGGATTGAACCCAGTGCCCCACGCATGCCAGGCGAGCATACTATTGCTTGAGCCACATCCCCAGCCCGGATCAGCATCTTTATATCAGAGAAAACATTTGGCATTTGGTTCTCTGGCATTACTTCACTTAGCATAATATTCTCCAACTCCATCCATTTACCTGCAAATGCCATGATTTTATTGTCTTTTAATGCTGAGTAATATTCCATTGTGTATATATACCACAGTTTATCCATTTATCTACCGAAGGGCATCTAGATTTGTTCCACAATTTACCCATTGTGAATTGTGCTGCTCTAAACATTGATGTGGCTGTGTCCCTGTAGTATGCTGTTTTTTTAAGTCTTGTGTATAGACCAAGGAGTGGGATASCTGGGTCAAATGGTGGTTCCATTCTCAGTTTTCCAAGGAATCTCCAAACTGCTTTCCATATTCACTGCACCAATTTGCAGTCCTACCAGCAATGTATGAATGCCTTTCTCCCCACATCCTTGCCAACACTTATTGTTGTTTGTATTCGTAATAACTGCCATTTTAACTGGAGTGAGATGAAATCTTTTGATTTGCATTTCTCTAATTGCTAGAGGTGTTGAACTTTTTTTTATGTATTTGTTGCTTGATTGTATATCATCTTCTGAGAAGTGTCTGTTCAGTTCCTTAGCCCGTTTATTGATTGAGTTATTTATTTTGTGGTGGTAAGATTTTTGAGTTCTTTATATATCCTCGAGATTAGTGCTCTATTTGATGTGCCTGTGGTAAAAATTTGCTCCCAAGATGTGGGTTCTCTATTCACTTCACAGATTGTTTCTTTTACTGAGAAGAAACTTTTGTTTGAGTCCATCCCATTTATTGATTGTTTTATTATATATATATATTTTTTCAGTTGTTGATGGACCTTTATGTATTTACATGTGGTGCTGAGAATCGAACCCAGTGCCTCACGCATGCTAGGCAAGCACTCTACCACTAAGCCACAGCCCAGCCCCCATTTATTGATTCTTTATTTTATTTCTTGCCCTATAAGAGTCTTATTAAAGAAGTCAGGGTCTAATCCGATATGGTGAAGATTTGGGCCTGCTTTTTCTTCTATTAGGTGCAGGGTCTCTGGTTTAATTCCTAGGTCCTTGATCCACTTTGGGTTGAGTTTTGTTCATGGTGAGATAGGGGCTTAATTTCATTTTGTTGCACGTGGATTTCCAGTTTTCCCAGCACCATTTGTTGAAGAGGCTATCCTTTCTCCAATATATGTTTTTGGTGCCTTTGTCTAATATAAATAACTGTACTTATGTGGGTTTGTCTCTGTGTTCTCTATTCTATACCAATGGTCTACTTGTTTATTTTGGTGCCAGTACCATGCTGTTTTTGTTASTATAGCTTTGTAGTATAGTTTGAGGTCTGGTATAGTGATGCCACTTGCTTTACTTTTCTTGCTAAGGATTGCCTTAGCTATTCTGGGTCTGTTATTTTTCCAGATGAATTTCATGACTGCCTTTTCTATTTCTATGAGGAATGTCATTGGGATTTTGATTAGAATTGCATTAAATCTGTATAGTGCTTTTGGTAGTATGATCATTTGAACAATATTCTGCCTATCCAAGAACAGGGAGATCTTTCCATCTTCTAAGGTCTTCTTTAATTTCTTTCTTTAGCGTTCTGTAATTTTCATCGTAGAGGTCTTTCACTTCTTTTGTTGATTCCCAGGTATTTTATTTTGTTTTTTGAGGCTATTGTAAATGGGGTGGTTTTCCTAGTTTCTCTTTGAGAGGATTTGTCACTGATGTACAGAAATGCCTTTGATTTATGGGTGTTGATCCTGCTACTTTGCCAAATTCATTTATTAGTTCTAGAAGTTTTCTGGTAGAATTTTTTGGATCTTCTAGGTATAGAATCATATCTTAGGCAAACAGTGATAATTTGAGTTCTTCTTTTCCTATTCGTATCCCTTTAATTTCTTTCGCCTGTTTAACTGCTCTGGCTAGAGTTTCAAGAACTATATTAAATAATAGTAGTGAAAGAGGGCATCCCTATGTTGTTCCAGTTTTTAGAGGGAATGCTTTCAATTTTTCTCCATTTAGAATGATGTTGGCCTAGGGCTTAGCATAGATAGCTTTTACAATGTTGAGATATGTTCCTGTTATCCCTAGTTTGCCTTGAGCTACCCCTTTTTAAAATTATATATATTTTCTTAAATATTTTTTTAGGTGTAGATGGACACAACACAATGCCTTTATTTTTTGTGGTACTTAGGATCGAACCTGGGTCCCGCCTGTGCTAGGTGAGCACTCTATCGCTGAGCCACAATCCCAGACCTAAAATTATACAGTGTCTCGCTAAATTGGTGAGGCTGGTCTGGAACTTATGATCCCCCTAGGTCAACCTCCCAGATAGCTGGGGTTATAGGCATATGTGACCATGCCTGGCCAATTATTTTATATTTTGATGAGACTACTTTTCTCAAATATGAGACCAAAGATTATCTTATTCCAAAAGATACTAAAGAAAAACTTTAATAATATCAACTACTTGTGATCTATTATCATCTACCTCTGCCTCATGATTCCATTTCTAATATTAACATTATTTACATTTATTATTGCATAAGTTAGATTTAATCATATCATTACTATGTACGGTACTACCTCACAGTTTTCATTTTGTTTTGTGGGGATGGAATCCAGGGCCTTGCACATTCTAGGCAAACGCTCTACCACTGAGCTGTACCCTTAGCCCCTACCTCACAGTTTTTAATAGATTATTAATTCACATGTGATGTAAGACATGAATCAGAAATAATGTAGGGGTATGGATCACTGGTAAAGAAATATCAGAGTATCAAAGAAAAAGCAGTGGAATGGCAGTATTCAACTCTGCATATATGAATGCATAAAATAAGTATTTAAATTTGCTGTGTATTTTAAAGATCATACTGATAAAATAGTAAAAAATATAAGCCGGAGCTGGGGCTCAGTGGTAGAGCACTTGCCTAGCATGTGTGAGGTGCTGAGTTTGATCCTCAGCACCACATAAAAATAAATAAATATATTGTGTCCAACTACAACTAAAAAAAATATTTTAAAAAATTTATAAGCCATTTTCATCCTTTTTTCTTTCAGTTTGTTGTAACTATATTCTTACTTGGATAAAGATTGAGGGCTAGTGCTATGGCTCAGTTGTAGAGCACTTGCCTTGCATGTGTGAGGCACTGGATTCAATTCTTAGCACCACATATAAGTAAAAGAATAAAATAAAAGTTCATCAACAACTAAAACAATTTTAAGAAATTGATTTGAAAGTCTTGAACTTAAGCACTTTCTATACTTTATTTTTTCCTGAGCTATTGAAAGTTTTTGTGTATTTTCATTGACTTTAAATTTCAGAGATTGTTCTCAATCTGGGGTGTATTTTTTTGGAGGAGGGACAGATCTAGATTCCTTCAAACTTCTTTAAAAATCCAAAACTTGGGAGGCTGGGGTGTATAATCTAATGGTAGAGTGCTTGACAGCATGCAAAAAACCCTGAACTGGATTCCCAGTAAAAGATCCAAAACTTAGACTGGGAGTGTATAGCCCAGTGGTAGAGTGCTTGCTTGCCTGTCATGCATGAGGACCTAGTTTTTTTTTTTTTCTTTTTTAAATTT